GTGTGAAACTATCTTAATCTTCTGCTCAGGCAAACTAGCAGGAATTTGCCGCCATCTTCAGGCTTTCTGCAAAATGCACGCACAGTAAGTCGTATGCAGCAACTCTGTAATGATCGTGGTTGAACATGATGAACCAATTAATTCTCTGTCTCAAAAACAAAACAAATTAAACAAGAAGGCAAGGCACAGCCTTGTTCCTTGTTTTGCATATGTATTCGTTTAATCCATGTATGGCAGGACAACTTTGATTTCAACTGTCTGCCTCAGTGCTCAGTAGACTGTGTGCCAAAAGGTATTTATTTGTATGGTAGATGCATTTTAAGTAGGGGTGGTTGACTGTGAAAAGTCTAGGAGCTACTCAGTGGGCCACATTTTACAGGGAGCCCCACAGCCCTAAAATTAAAATGGTGGTTTGTTGCAAAAAAATTGGTAGCAACCCATTGTGTAGAGGCTACAAAGTGCTAAAGGGGGTCAAACTTCACTTGAAGGCAAAGCAAAAAAAGTGGCTACTTTTTTGGTTAAAAATCATTATGTGATATGGTTGCCAAATTTGGAGACATGCTAGGGAGAGCTGTTTGTGACCCATGGCCCATATGTTTCCCACTCTTGATTTAAAACATTAAAAAGCAGATGCCAACTAAGTCAAATTGCACAACTACAGATATTAAACATTGCTCACCTTGCTTTTTCTTACTGTTGTCCCTTTTCCCCTCCTTTTCTCTCACTTCACTGGGAACAGGAGACAGCTATCAAGCTGGTAATTTTCTTATTATCTGATACAAAAGTAAGCATGAAGATCCATTTCAGGAAGCCAGATGTTAGTAATCAACAATGCATACTACTTCTTTAAATTCACATCAATTATTTAAAATTGCAGCCATTTTGCTTGGAATAAAATCACACAGGACTCAGTTCTCTGTGTAGATAAGGTTTCCACATTTTGCCTCATAGATACTGAGATGTGCATTATGCAGACTCTTAATTCTTTTTGTCAATGTTTTGGAAAGTAAATCAAGTTTACAAAGCCTTGTCAAAAACCATAGAGGGAAACTAAATTTTACCAACTACTGATCCTGATTTATAATCTGCATAGTAGAGCTGTATGTTGACCATGATTCCACTTGGATACCAATTAAAATGGGACAGTTCTGCTCAGATCAATTCAGATGCTGCCAGCTGCAACGCCACCATCAACAATCCTGTAGAAAAAAATCCCAGAAAGAGAGGTGGGCAAAGAAGACCTCAGGGCCTGCACCAGCAGAACTACTCATCTCCAGACAGCCAATTCCTATCAATCAGCCTGTAGAAAAGATTCCAGGAGAGAAGGAGAAAAATGTGGAGATGAAACCAGAATTCTCTTCCGACTGGACTTTCAGCCTGCTCCAGGGGCCATTGTCCACTGACTGCCTCAAGGGAAGACTCCTGATATTTTGTTTGCTTGCTTGTTCTGTAATTTGTTAACCTTTTATTGAGAATTTGAGAATGGCTTGGGACCTGGATACCTAAAGGACCGCCTTCTTCCATATTTGCCCTCCCGCCCCCTGAGATTGGCAGCAGAGGCCCTCCTCGAGGAACCCTCCATGAAAGATATTAGGAGGCAAAGTACCTGGAGGAGGGCTTTCTCTGCGGTGGCGCCCCACATATGGAATGCGCTCCCCAGAGAGGTCCGCCTGGTGCCATCGTTATTTGTTTTTCAGCACCAGGCTAAGACCTTTTCATTTAAACAATATTTTAACAACTTTTAATATCATCTATAGGGTTTAATTTGCAGCCAGGGTGAATCTGTATTTTATTTGCACTATTTGTATTTTGTTTATTTATTTTATGCAAGCCTTCCCGAGGCTCAGGTGATGGGACGGCATACAAAAATTCTAAATAAATAATTTTTTTTAAAAAAAATTATATTACTTGTAGTTGCCTGGATAGATGCTATATACTATCTACAGTATATAGATAGCACAGTATATAGATATCTACAATGCTCAACACTATATACAGACATCTCAGGCTTTTTGCCTCTTGTTGACTATCATGGGAAGTTAATAAAATAACTTGTACATTGTTTTTCTGTATATCAGAAGTGGTAGGAATTTGTAGGCAGATTAGCGTTTTTGTGTGCCTGCCTTGTAAATGATTGGCAGTGGCTGCACTTATCAGTCCTGTGTCCTTCTCCAAGGCAGAGAAGACACAGAGTATGACGGTCAGTGGGAGACATTTTGGCTCCACACTGCGCGGACTTATGAAAAGCCACCCACTGTGCCATCAAAAAGAAAAAGATAGGAGATACAGTGAACAGAGATGGATCATAAGAGGTAAAGACGATAGAAGGGGTTTTTTAAAAAATATTTTTATTTGGAAGGGGAAGAGGGGGAAAGGAAAAAACAGGATAAAATGAGGGGTTCTGTAAAGGTGAATAATGGGTCAGAGTTTAGATAGAGGAGGTAGAGAAGTGAAATAAGAAGTTTAAGATTTATAGAAGTAACAATTGAAAAAGAGACAAGGATACAAGTGAGAAAAGGCTTGAGGCACGGTGAACGGCAGCCACAAGCAGACTAGCAAGAGGGTGGGCACTCTGGCCACTACTGGGGCGGGGGGGGGGGGGCGGAGTTCCCACCAAAAACCATTAAAGCTCTTAAAATCTTCCTGGCCACAGGCACTGCGCAGGTGCAGCACCTATATATGTGTGATGCATGGAGACCATGATGAAGAACCAGCATGGCTCTTACGTTCTTGACTTCATATATGTATATGCATATGTATATATGGGGATTGCCAGTAACTTTTTGTCAGACCTCAATGCTAAGTTTTAGATGAACGGGTGCAGGGATATTTGGGCAACAATAGCAGTCGCTTTCTGAAGGTATCAGAGGAGGCTGCCCTTATCTCCCTAAGTACAATTTTTCTGCAAATAACAAATAGTCTAATGGTAGGCCTGAGAGAGAAACCTGAAAATTTTTCTGAAGGTTAGGGACAAAGTTTTCTGGGAGATCTCCAATTTTATGCGAAGGGTGAGTAGTTTCTTCTATAGACTTTGTGTGTGGGGAGGGGGGGGGAGGAAGGGACACTTTGTATGAAAATGGTACAAATCATTGAGGTGCTTCCAGACAAGAAACCAACTTAGTTTCAGAACAATAGGTGCAGGGGATAGGGAGTTATTATTGAAAACTATTTTAAAGCCTTTTTCATAGTTAATTTTGGTAACATCATAAGAATAGCCATTGCACAGTACCATTCTTCCCTTTCCCCCAAAGCATGGTGTTGGGAGAACCACTGGTAAAAAATGTCTTGCTTAAAAGTTGGATCTGTCAGTCACATATCCCCCCTCACACTTCAGCATTTACAGAAATGACAGCAATACACAATGAGGCCTCATGCAGGGCCCAGTTTCTGTTCTGACCACTTTGTGAGGGAAGTCTATACCTCTGGAAACACCAGAAATGGTTTGAAGGAACCCTTTAATATTTATTTATTTATTGAACAATTTTATTCTTGGGCTTTAGCTGAATCTGATACACATTCCTAATACATACACATTTACATAATAATCCTTAGCATATTCTATTATGCCATGTATACTAACTCATTGCTTTAAGGTTTTATCTTCAAATCAAAAATAATTTCAGCAGTAGTAATAATGGTAGGTATCTCCATAACTGTAATTTGTTAGTGTATTGAATACTCCAGTCAATCATTGTTGTATTTAAAACCAACAGTTGTTATCTAAGTAAGAATGAGGGTCCTTGAAAGTTTTGATTTCTTTTCATATTGCATAAATCAAAGTCCTTGTAACTCTGCCAACTCTTAAGTCATTTTGAACTTCCAGCACATGCATGGCAAGTCTATTCCTGATCATCATGGCTCAAGAAAGGAGGAATTTGAGCATCCTGTTTAACTGCAAACCAATTCTATAAATGTTCATCTTTATGTAGCCACAATGACATATATGCCCACAAGGGAGGTATTGGCAGGTTCTAAGAAACCCCAAGGAACAAATCATCAGGGGAAACCTCTGCATGGCTAGGAACCTGAAAATAGTTCTATGAAGGATGGCTGTGCCCAGTAGACCAAGAATTTTGACAGATTATTCAGTGGGGGATAGAAAACTGGGAAGAGGGGGAAAACGGAACAGAATGTCCCTATAGTGAGTATGACTGGCTGGAAGACTACACAGGGGCACTGTTTTGTTGCAGGTCCACTAGCTTACTGTGGTTGTGTCTTAGTAGAATAGGAAAGAAAAGAAGACAGATCATCTGTCTACAGTTTGCAGTCACTTGATTGAAGAGTTATCAAGTTGTGAATAAGGGCTGTGGACTTATCAGCTGCACTGTAGTGACACCTTGGATGAAGCACTGAAGAGAGAAAAGGATGCATCATATTACCCATCTCTCTCTCTCTCAGTCCTTTAAGCAACCAGCTTCCTGCCAGAACACACTGGGTTGAGTCCAGTCTCGGTCCTACTTAAACAAATGGAAATTAAAGGGACTAAACTTAGTTGTAACTAACGGAAGTCCCCCCAGTTTCATTTTATCTACTCCAAACATGACAAAATTTGGATCCCACCCAGTGGTTCTGCTGGATACATGTGCATAAGAAGGGCCATAGCAAAATGGAGAACATACCCTTTACAGGCAAGATCTCCCAGATATAATTCATGGCATCCCTGGGTGAGGTTGACAAAGTCTCCTATTAATAAGAGAGCCGCTAACAGTGTGGAACATGAATGGGTTGAAGGTAATCTCCTATTTTCAGTCTTCAGCTCCTGGCATTCCTGACCATTACCCATGCTAAGAAGGATCCTGGGAGTAAAAGTCCAAAACATCTTCTGCCCATGCCTAGTACAGACAGTACTGAGTTAGATGGACCAGTGGACTGACCTGGTATGAGTAAGCAGCTTATTATATCCATTATGTTGAACAATAAAATTTTAAAACTGTTCTTCATAGGCCCATGAATACGTGCTGTTTTGAAGAATATACTATATAAACCACAATGCAGAACTATTTGGATGCTCCATGACAGGTTTATTTATACACTAAGTTAAAAAATACAAATATTTCATTACAAAAAAAGCTTTATCAAACTGTGTACATACAGTAGGTTTTGTCAAAAGCTAACCTGTCATTATTACATTATATACATTTGGCTTAATATGTGGGACATGCAGAATAATAGGAGTACTGCTTTAGATTAATTTAAGTAGCCTAGTATTTTGGAGGCTTTTGGCAATGGTCAAATAGTTTTCCCATCTCAGCAAACACATTTCCGCAAAAACATGATAGCAGTTTATTAACGAGAACTAGTTAAATAGGCAAGGAAGAGACCACATTTCCCTGATCCACAGTTGTGTCATATTTCCTGCCACATTAAAGTAGGATAACAGCACATAACGAAACAATTGAACTAGCAACGGGCTGACACTCTGTGATTCTGTGCAGTACTGCAACTTGCACCCAAACATGGCCTATAACAGAGATTGGTGCAAAGTATCTGTACATGCAGATGAACTTCCAACTTCTGAATCTGTGCAAATGCAGATGATACCAACCCTTCATTCCAAAAATTAAAAAATCCCAATGCACTCCAAAACTTTTTCTGAACAAAGATTGGTACTTGCTTGTGAAGCTGAGCTGAAACTGTTGACTACAAAAAGCTACCCGAGTTAATAATTTGAAACAAGAGTAAGTTGTCAGAATGAAGGCCACTGAATCCAGCTTCTGTGCTATTCCCCTCCAGGACAGTTCTAAGAACAATGTTAAGAACACATCAGGAAAATCCTGCCTACAGCTCAGTTTTAGCTAGATATGCTTCTGCTCTACCTGTCCTGAGGTCTTCCACAGGTCGCCATTTTCAAGTGAAACAGGCTCCACTCTAAAAAGGCTATAGCTTGCTTTATAAACTACCCACCCTCTCCCTCCATTACACTATTTGCTGGGTAAGAGGCTGGGGTGTTGCAAATTTGAACTGGGGTTCTAACACAGGAGGCTGCATGTTAAGTTTCCACACTTAGCACTAATCTAACCTAGAACATAAAAACACTTTTGGCAGTCTGTTCCAACAGATGCAGGCTTTCTTCAAAGGCTCATCTGAATGGATATTAAAGTGCACATAACCACCAAGTAATGTCTTCTCCCCGTCCAAACCTGAATCCCTTCTGCATGCTTCAAAAATGAATGGCAAAATGAAGGGATCATACTTCTGATGCTAACCTTACAAATGCAAACTCTCTAATGTTTTGAAGCAGCAAATACCATGTTTTTTGCCCAATAAACAACATCTAAGGATTACATTTCATTTGACTACAAATACATTTAACTACTGATCAATAAGCAGTAATACTTGGTTATTTTTTCATCATTTACAGAACAAGTCTTCTTACTCTTTTAAGAGAGGAATTAATACTAGTTGAAACAGTGCCATCTCCTTTGCACCCTTTTCCTCAGCAAATTCCTTGCTTCATGCTAATTTTTGTGATTAATAGAAATAGTAACAGTTTGGCTTGAGTAAGAGAATCAGAACAACTATTTGGGGTCTACACTTTTGACTCAGTTGTCCATTTAATATTTTGACATTATACTACATCAAAGTAACATCTGTGCAAGCTAACTTATGTTCACAAGACAAGCATGACATGTTCTCTAAAATGCAAGAGGACTTGTTATATGTAGTGCTAAACTTCACAATTGCATGATTTTTTAAAAAGATAAATACCACTTTATTTCCATGTTACATTAATAGTTTAGACTACAATCCTAGAAGCCAATGTGCCTATATGATAAAGAATTAAGCACACATCTAGGTAGTGTCTTTCTACGACATCATTCCCCATTTCCCTTCCCTCATTAAACAATTTTAAAATTGGCTTGCACACTCAACCATGAAAACAGTTACAGAAGAAACTTAAGAGGTGCCAGCAGCTGAAGGTACATTTCTCGTCCATGTGTGCACATGGTTTTTTAGGACTGCAACCTTAGTCAGATGTTCCCACACTCTCCAAAAGTACATTTTCTATTTTAGGTGCTAGACCCAAAGTAGAAGCAAGACATCATGGTCAACATGATTATGTGTCACTTATTCTAGGACATCTGAATGAATATTACTTACACTACTACAAATACACAGATACTGCCACAAAAATAGATGAGGATACAGAGTAAATACATCTTTCATGTCATGGCACTTCAAGCAGAATAACACTGTCTGGTTGGCTTAATGGTCAGTTGTGATTATGTTTGATTGAATATTTTCCTTTCTGTAGCTGAGAAATATACAGTTTGGATTTGCTTCCATCAGGCCTCTTAAACCACACTTCATCATGGTTAATTGTTGTAATTATGGCACTGAAAAGGAAAGAGGGGAAGAAATCAGGAGCATATTAGTGTCCATATAAAAATACAGGATCACCCTAAACTGCACTGCCATTTATAAACAGTACTGTAATTATTGGTAATATAGCACAGGCACATTATAACAAGTGCCTCATTAAATTAGGGATAGTTAATAGAATACTGAAACACCAATACTGGAAGTATACTATACAGTACTGCACTTGTTTACAAAGCATTCCCATCTTTTAACAGCTTGCTTTTGTTAAGGAGGAAAAGCACAGCCATATGCATAGGATCAACAGCAGACTGAGTGCTGGCAATCATTTCACTACTGCAGTGTCCTCACAGGTGACTTTGGTTTATTATCCTGCCTCTCAGTAGCTACTTCACAACACAGTCCAGGTATATTAATTACATGGGCTTTTCAGAACTGGTGATGCTTGCCTAGCTTCACCATTTCTTTTTCTCATGCAGACACATGTGCCTATGATTGTGTGTATATTTGTACAGAGAAAGAGAAACTGATTCTTAAAGATACCATAATATACTATCCACTTTCACATTTTATCCCTACAAATGCATCACTGAATGCACTGGGCAATATCCTATGCTGCTCATGCACCAGCAAGACCAACCTCTAACACTATGGAGAGGTAGCAATTGGTAAAGCAACCCACGTGTTTCTGCAACAAGGCAAGTCAGCAGAACTCACAGAAGAAACCTCTACTGACCTGTCCCAATTTGGAAAGTAGTTACCACGTATTTGAGGGGGCTTCTTTATGAACTATGAACTCTGGGGTTCAATCACTGCAACCGAGTTGATTCCTTAATTTTAAGCATATATTTGTTTTAACATCCTAGAATTTTTGATGCAGTTTGTTTTGTGTTGTTAAGATGCTTTGGATTTCAGGGAAAAGCAGTTTTCAAAAACAGTAAATGAAATTTCAGATAATTAAATAAGGGTGTAACTCAATGGTCCTCGTGATCCCAAGGGCCATAGGATACTGCAGATCTAATAGTGAATTTCCTCCTAGAGGAAGCAATGGATGGAAAAACAGGAGAAGGAAAAAATAAGAGAGAAACCAGCAAGTGAAACAGAAAAGCGGGGAAAGGCCTCATGTTTCCCATCTTCTGTCTTGGGTGGTTGGAAGGGGCAGCTGCTGCACCATTGATTTCTCACTACCATCCAAGACTTCTATAGGGTAATTCTGCCAAGCTAGGCTTCTTGGGTCTCTCAAATTATTAATATGCTGTCAAGTTCTGTCATTTTAGGGGTCTCCTGCCAATCTTTTGATGGAATGCTGTGGATTTCATAAGCAATTCTTGTCACTGCTAAGAATTCTTGTCACTTGAAGTTAGGATCTTAATAGTTCTACACAACCTCTTACATCATTTGATAGACAAATCTACTGGATTGCAGGACTTTGTCCATGTTTTCCACAATGCAATAGCTGCACACAGCCTTGCTGCCCTGTCTGAATTACAAGAGCCACTGCAGTGCCCTCAATGATCCACCTTGCATACAGAATAGAGGGGAAGAGGCAGATAGCCCTATCATCCTGTATCGACCTGAAAATAAAGTTGCTTATAGAAGAGCTGGTATTTTGTTTTCAGTATGGTTTTAAGGTGAATTCATAGATGTGCAGCTCCTTTTTGATTGCCAGTGATGGGTGAACAATAGGCTGCACACACGCAACTTGCAAGGATCGCTTATTTCATGTGCAACACAGATGATTGCAGATTATATGTAAGAGGGAAAGGGAGACAAGACAGACACATAATTTAAATGTTCATACTCTAAGAAGGTTGGCAAATAATGATCATGACAGCCACCGGAAGGTAATGCAAGATGTCACTGTGAAAGTTTAAGGCACACTGGATATTCAAATCTCTTTGTTTCTCTATGCCTCTTCCCACTGAGTGCTGTCATATACAAATGAGGTCAGGGCACTGGCACATTTTTGGGATCAGAGGCAAATCTGGCAATTTGAGAAGCTGCCTTGGGCCCCACCACAAAACGCCATGGAAGATGTGCCAAAGGACAAGTAGCCTGCCCAAAAGACTAAATACAAGGTGAGCCACTAATACCCTAAACAACTCCTTTAAACTCATTGGTTTTACAGCAGTGCCATCTCCCAGTAAAAGAATGTGTTAATTGAAACAAAACGGTGGAAAAGGTAAGCCACCTTCATGGATACCAAGAAAGGTGCCCAATATGTACACAGGGACCTTAGTTAAGATATACTGACCTCTAGCTCCAATCATATAAACAATCCAGTTTTAAGGACTTTTTAAAACTATTTACCTTGTAGGACACTCATCTTTCCTATCAATACATATTGATTGTCCGCGTCCATACCACTCTCCATTGTAATACAGTCTTCCCTCTTCAGATCTTGCACTGTGCAGGTGTTTTTCCAACTTGACAGGGGCTGAAAAGAATCAGTGCAGATAATGCTGACAACACGAGATCAGAGGTGTCTTTCTATCATACTTCATGTTCATGCAGAAGGCAACATGCACTAGTGATTTTACAATTAGCTCTTTGCTCACAAGAGACAGTAGGTTTTTACTTTAAAAGACACTATATAAATAAATTCTCTCAGGTCAGCTATGAGACAGCTAGTTTATGGCATTATAGGTTTTCTTGCATGATTTAAATACACTTTGCCTGTTTTGTAAAAACACATGTCCATAACTATATATGGTCCTCTCACAGACTCTCCAAATGGCAAAAATTCTTTCCAAGCCACAAAGAGAATCAGTGTCTGTATTTAAGAACTTCTTGTATTCCATTCTTAGCATCTATGATGGAACAAGTCCAGATCATTGTATTTAAGAGACTGGGATAAGCGAAGTTTTAAGCAGGTTGTCCTTACGTTCTGTTTTCACTCTGTGGGGTCCCAGTGTAGCCATTGCCTGAAATAAAATGCCAAAATAAAAATATTGATCATATTTAGCAAGTCATCTTCTTAAGATGCTTTGTTTGAAATAACAACTTTGTGACAGCTCCTGTGACAAGATACACAGAAGCATACCCAACATTCTCACCAATGCCAAATCAAGGACAAATGACTAAGCATAGAGAAGTGCTTAACATTTCCATAGTTAAGCAGATTGGAGCTTGTTTACTAGAAAAATTTCGTATGAATAATTCTATAACTGACCTTAAGGAATAAATATAGCTCCTACTCTGATCCCCTCAAATATTCTCAAACATCTGACCTTCATCCCTGTTTGTTGTATGTTCTGTATGGGTTGGGGAAGACAATACTCTTTGGATATTGTTTAACAAGGATCCCTTTGTTATGCACTAACCCATATGAACTGTCAAACATAATAATCATTTCTTTCTTTCTGGCCTATTGTTCTATCTTCTTACATGAATGTGCTAGTTCCTGGGTAATTTTTTTTAAGAACACCATGAAAATTATTGCATGGTTTCTTCAGTCATAACAGCAGCAATCCAATGATCACATGTGATGCATCAGGAGTATAAAGGTATGGAACTCAGCAACTAAACAATTTGCAAGTTCTGTGATTGTCCTTTGTGCATTTTTTGTGTTATATTTCTCTCACTGTCCTACAAGAACCCCCAAAGACTTGCCTTTGTGAAAAATGAAACTTGCGAATCTTAGTATAAATTATCTCACACGTAAGTAGAAGCTGCATAACTTTACTCACTATTGGCTTCAACTGATCTATCCAATAATCAATTCTATCCTTCCTACAAAATAAAATGACATGGTTACCTTCCCAATTCCCCTACACAATCTAACACTGCACACCACTGTCCCTAAGCGGGTTACCTCCCTAAGTATAAAGACTTAAAACCCTATGCCACATCTAGGAACCTAAGCTCTTTCCTTTAAAAATATTTAGATAGTGACATTTAACCATACCTTCCTTATTGTTGTCCAGTCTTCAAGTATATCAAGGTCCTGTAGCATATACACTATATAAGGGCGTTAATATGTTAAGAAACTTGCACATTTCCAAGTGGGCTAAAACAAAATTTCTAGCAGACCATTTTGAAGTATGCTTGGTATAACACAACTAAAATTAAAGCAGTGCTAACAATAGGCCCCAAGCACAGCTCATGTTCATTTTTCAAGTATTGTTGGACCAATGATACAAATTTTTATATTACCCTTCAACAGAAATTCTCAGGTAGTTTACATAAAAGGACAATACTATTAAAATTCAAGCAAAATAAACTGTCATAAACTAATTCACAGTTTATAGTATACATATTTACTAATATATATACTATTATGTTTTCATAAACGGTCTTTTAAGTCATTACTGTACCTGAATTAAAAGCATAAGTTTGCAATTCTGTATCTACTTACCTAGAAGTAAGCATCATTGTACTCAAGGGGACTTAGTAGGTATTTATCTCATTGTGCCTTAACAGGACTTTGTGTACACCTAGTAATCTTAACCCAGGCTACATAGCAAAAAGGTATCTTGTAAACAACTGAGTGATAACTTCATCAATCAGATAGGCAGGAGGAACTAGGAATGAAATACAGCCTTTAGAGACTTGTGTGGTTCTACACAGCCATACCACAAACTCCACTTTTCACCCTTCGTTTCTACTGATGTTCACACTTCCTTGCAAAGTGGTTTCAACAGAGCTGCACACAGAATTGCAGCAGCCTATTTCAATGATAGTGAGATTTAATCAGAAGAGTGCAAATGATTACTGATCCATTTTTCTGAGTTCACTGCCTGCCTTAAAAGCTTATTTTTCCTCTTCCTATTAAAATATTCCCCTCCCATTCATGTAAATAGAAGGAAATTTATTTAATTACTTAACAGATTTATATTCTACTCCATACCAATAACATTTTTGAGCAATGTACAAGAAAGTGCAAATCAAAATACGGAGTACTGATTACCAAGTTAATATCTGTAAAATCAAACAATGCAAAACTTTACCTAGCAGAAGGGGGGGTGGCTTGTTTAAATAAAAATGTCCTTGCCTGCCTGACGTAACAGTAAGGAAGTTTCATAGAGAGGGGGTCATTACACTGAAGGCTTTCCTCTAAGTGAACTCCAGGTAAACTGTAGTTCCAAGTAGAACCACCAGAACTGCTTCTTCTGATGACCTCTGTGAATATACAGGGATTGAACAACACCAGCACAAAGGCTGGCACGGTTCTCCACAGCTGTTCTGGGGCTGTACTGAGAGTATGAGAGGGCCTCTTCTGTCCCACCCAGGGAATGCTCCTTATTTCACTATTTTTCTCTTTCACAGGACCTCCAAATAGAAGTACAGGGGATACACAGGTTTCTGAGGGACCTTGGAATGGCTACTTTATCTCCTCTGAAAACAGGCCTTCTCTCTGACATCAGAGGCAGAGATCCAAAAGTGTTAGGGCTCCTTGGAAGCCTACCTAGGAGTGAAACTTCCATGTTTTTAAGAACATCATCAATATGCTAGATAAAAGAGCATGGCTCTATCATAATGAACAGACTTGTTCTTAGTACCTAGAAAAAAAGCTGCTCACAATTCTTCATCAATGTCTTCAAACGAATGACCTGTGTTTCTTTATTGAAGCTTTATGAAGTACCAACAGTCAGTAACATTGTAATTCATTAAACAGATGTACACATGTAGCAGCCATAAAAGGATATCTGATACAACAACAGGTTTCTTCTTATCAGGACTAAATGGATCCTTCCTTTTCTTCCTAGACTGAAGTTCATCATTCCATAACTCTGAGGAAACATGAGAAAGTTGCAGTTAAAAATATTTTTCCAAAGCACCACTGGGACTGACAGACCCATACATTTTATAAATGCACATTTATGATTTATTGTTTGTTTACAGTTATTCACAATATTTCTGTTCTGCCTTCTAAGAACAGAAGCTTCTGAATGCTCTTCAAGAGTAGCCTCAGGTAGAGTCCATTACAGTAGTCTCACTATAATATAATTAAGGCATGGATAGCAGTTGCCAAGTCAGGTGACTGCAAAACTGTTGCAGCTGGCTCATTAGATGTACCAGATATATCCATGTATACGACATCCCTTGAAACTGGAAATACTGAGAGAAAAATTGGGGGTTGTCTTCTAAGTATGACATATGACAAATGACAAAACCAGGAAAACAAACATGGGAGATAAGGCATACAGAGGTCAAATCTTGACAGTTATCTTAAGATTGTTAGTTAAGCCATTGCCATTGCTAGGTTAAAGAGAAGGAAGGTCCTAGTCAATCCAGAGAACATACTGAGGTTTACCACTACTTTCTATAAAAGTGCTGAGATGCCAATACTTTATTTATTTGGACTGTATTCCGTCCATACAGCATCTAGCACAGAAATCAAAACCTCAGGCTGAAGGGCCAATCCTGAAGTCCAATCCAGCCCTCCTGACTTCCCCCAGTGATCATAACATTCCCCCCTTGAACTATCCCTTTCCCCCCAGCTGCCAATCATTTGGTGGTTTGCTGGCTTTTGTGGGGTCCATGTCCACATTCTAAAGGTAGAAATGCTTCTCCTAAAGCTTAGCTATTGACAGTAAGAATTTTAAGCAACAATTTGTATGTATATTTTGATATCTTTGCCACATTCCTATCTGCCTGTGTAAGAGTCATGCTGGATCAGACCAAGGGACCATCTAGTCCAGCATTCTCTTCACATAGTGGCCAACCAGCTAACTGTGTGAAACCCACAACCAGGACCGAAGCAAAGCAGCATCTCCCACTCCTGTTCCCCAGCAACTGGCTTATACAGGTCTTTTGCCTGCAGCCCCACTCACAACTGGAATGCAGTACCCGAGAACCTCTCCAAAACTGAATGTGGCCCTCAAGCTTAAAGAGGGTCAACACCTTAGTTACCTGAGGTAATGTCAATGCTATGTCGGTCTTCTTCAAGACGTCGGATTTTCTCTTCTAGTTCACTTTGAACTGTATCATACAACAAGAGCTTTTCACTCTGAAAGAACAAGTTAACAATGTAGTCAAACATTAGACAACTAAAAGCACCTAGTACATCTTCTACTGCACTGGGCACAAGATCAGCGCAAGCAGCTTCTTACAGAGACTTGATGTGTAAGGTATATTCTTTCAGTGGGTTCAGAGTGCTAGAAGCAACACAAAAAAGCTGGCACCTGATGCTGAGAAAGGTCATGTTTCAGTTGTTTGAATGCAACACTTGCAAACAGAAGTTACCTTTTTGCAGACAATTCAAGTGGGATCATGACATATCATAAGAAGGATGGGTTAAAAGGGGTTTTCTTCTCCCCAGAAGTGTTTGAATATGCAATGTGCAAAGTCTAGCCTTTTTGCCAGTATTAAGAGTTTCCGAACAGCAGACGTGTAAACAAACATGAAGAAGAAAAATGCATTTAGCATATTAGAATTTAAGAGGAGAAACCCTCCAGTTTTCCTTTTAAAATATGTTGTTTTCTAACCACTCTTACTGGACAAGCAGCAGACCCAAATAACACATGGAAAGTTTGCAAACCCTTATGGTGAACAAATAAGAGACGCATGTGGCCAGAATTCAAAGACCTTACTAATAGTATTGTGTGCTCAAGGATCCCTTAAAAACATTCTACTGGTATTTGATAAATGGAAGCCCCTCTTCCATCCCTGCACTGGAAACCACTTTTGAAACTGGGGCATGAAGTGTAGGGCTTCTAATGCAGTCCATAATAGGATGTGGGGAAGTCAAGTATCCAAAAGGAAAAATCAATCCTTCTGCAGGCCTGAAGCAGCTCTTTGAATCCAGGCTGTTTCCAAGTTCACTTGGAAGGCATTTTTAAAGTTCTATTAAAATGTTGATTAGGAAATATCTGAAAATGAATTTGGAATGTAAACACATACCACATCTACATTTATTTCTTAAAACATAATCCATGATGTTCTAGGAAAAGATGGAGAAGGTGGCTATCAATGGCTACTAACCTTGATGGCTGTATACTATGTCCAGTATGTCTATATACCCCAGTTGCTATTGGACATGCCCTGCTTGTGGGTTTCCCATGGTTGGCGATTCAAAGAACAAAAGACTGGACTAAATGGATCCTTGGTCTGAACCAGCACAGGTGGTCTTATGTTCTTATTCATCCCAATCCATCAGGTAGAGGGAGATACAGCACCGGGAAGAGGGCTGGCAAGGTAAGAGGGATGCAGCACAAACAACTAATGGTTGTGCCATGTTCCAGTGCTCCCCTCACCAATGGATCTAATGGGTGCCATGTCAGCCAGCCCGCCCCAAGGTCTACAGATACTGCTTTTCAATGCTAGATTGGTGCAGAATAAAACCTTCCTCATCCATGATTGTGGCATGTATAATCAAGACCTCGGTGGGTGTACAGGCAGGAGTTAGTCTCTCCCAGATGTGGCCACTGGGGTATTTGGTGCAGCATCAGAGTAGACATGAGGGCTAAAGGAGGGGTTGCCATAGTCCATATGAATTCAGTCTCTCTTCAGGTGCACTGTCCATCCATTGACTGGTGTGGAGTGTCTATACCTTGAATCAGGCTAGTAGGACAGACTGGGGATTCTGCTGGTACACATTCCACCCTGTAATCCATCACTCTTGCTATGGGAACTGTTGATCCTGAGGGACTTCCACATTCATGCTGAGGGCACCCTATCCAGGTTGACTCAGGTTGACCATGACAACCAGGGGACTGTTCCAACATGTCATTGGCCCAATGTATGTGGTGGGACATACACTAGACTTGGTCTCCTTGGCTGGATATGAAATTGGTTCTCTGAGTGTGAGGAATTTTGACTTAATTCCTTTGTCCTGTTCAGATCACTGCCTGCTTAGAGTTAGACTTATGGAGGCTTTTCCCTACCACGAAGGTGGGGAACCCATTAAGATGGCTCACCCCCAGAGTTTTTTGTGGCTTACATGGCTGGTACCCGTCAAAGCCCTGGTCATACTGTGGAATGCAGAAGTGACCTGGGCAGTTGATACAATCACTCCTACACGCCCTTTCTGTTATCGAGCTCATACAGCTCTGTCATAAATGCTGGAGCTGAGAGTGATGAAGCAAGAGATGCCTTGAGTGCAGATGAGAATTCCCAGTGAATGCAATAGAAACGTGGGATGTGCCTACAATTAGGCATATTTTGAGGCGGTGAGGGTGGCCAAGAAACAATACCTCACTGCCTCTGTCTGTCTTGGACTCCAGAGTTACAGCAGTTGAGCTGGTGGAACTATCCAGAGCACAGTCTGGTCCAGTTTTATTGGATGAATTTCAGTTGGTTCAGCTCAAGGATGTGAACAAGGTGCTTGGACAGGTTTGTGCAACTACCTCTGTATTGGATTCTTGTCCCTCCTAGCATAAAAAGGCCAGCAAGGAAGGGATAACTGGTTGTGCCAGGGAGGTAATCAATGCTTCTCTGTGAGAGGGAGTGGTCCCATGGTGCCTTACAGAGACAATGGTGGGACCACTTCTCAAGAAACCCTCCCTTGATCCAGAAAATCTTAACAAATACAGGCCAATAGATATTCTGGTTTGGAAGCAGGACAGCTTTGCTGAGCTGGGTGCATAAGGGGAGGATGGAAAGGAAAGGGTAAGGATGAAATATGTGGACACATACAGTATATCACAGAAGTGAGTACACATTTTGTAAATATTTTATTATATCTTTTCATGTGACAACCCTAAAGAAATGACACTTTGCTATAATGTAAAGTAGTGAGTATACAGCTTGTATAACAGTGTAAATTTGCTGTCCCCTCAAAATAACTCAACACACAGCCATTAATGACTAAACCGCTGGTAACAAAAGTGAATACACCCCTAAGTGAAACTGTCCAAATTGGGCATTATTAGCCATTTTCCCTCCCTAGTGTCATGTGACTCGTTAGTGATACAAGGTCTCAGGTGTGAATGGGGAGCAGGTGTGTTAAATTTGGTGTTATCACTCTCAGTCTCTCATACTGGTCATGGAAGTTCAACATGGCACCTCATGGCAAAGAAATCTGAGGATCTGAAAAAAAGAATTGTTGCTCTACATAAAGATGGCCTAGGCTATAAGAAGATTGCCAAGACCCTGAAACTGAGCTGCAGCACGGTGGCCAAGACCATACAGCGGTTTAACAGGACAGGTTCCACACAGAACAGGCCTCGCCATGGTCGACCAAAGAAGTTGAATGTACGTGCTCAGCGTCATATCCAGAGGTTGGCTTTGGGAAATAGATGTATGAGTGCTGCCAGCATTGCTGCAGAGGTTGAAGGGGTGGTGGGTCAGCCTGTCAGTGCTCAGACCATATGCAGCACACTGCACCAAATTGGTCTGCAGGGCTGTTGTCCCAGAAGGTAGCCTCTTCTAAAGATGATGCACAAGAAAGCCCACAAACAGTTTGCTGAAGACAAGCAGACTAAGGACATGGATTAGTGGAACCATGTCCTGTGGTCTGATGAGACCAAGATAAACTTATTTGATTCAGGTGGTGTCAAGCGTGTGCGACGACAACCAGGTGAGGAGTACAAAGACAAGTGTGTCTTGCCTACAGTCAAGCATGGTGGTGGGAGTGTTATGGTCTGGGGCTGCATGAGTGCTGCCGGCACTGGGGAGCTACAGTTCATTGAGGGAACCATGAATGCCGACATGTACTGTGACATACTGAAGCAGAGCATGATCCCCTCCCTTCGGAGACTGGGCTGCAGGGCAGTATTCCAACATGATAACGACCCCAAACACACCTCCAGGATGACCACTGACTTGCTAAAGAAGCTGATGGTAAAGGTGATGGACTGGCCAAGCATGTCTCCAGACCTAAACCCTATCGAGCATCTGTGGGGCATCCTGAAACGGAAGATGGAGGAGCGCAACTCCGTGATGTCATCATAGAGGAGTGGAAGAGGGCTCCAGTGGCAACCTGTGAAGTTCTGATGAACTCCATGCCCAAGAGGGTTAAGGCAGTGCTGGAAAATAATGGTGGCCACACAAAATATTGACACTTTGGGCCCAATTTGGACAGTTTCACTTAGGGGTGTACTCACTTTTGTTGCCAGCGGTTTAGACATTAATGGCTGCGTGTTGAGTTATTTTGAGGGGACAGCAAATTTACACTGTTATACAAGCTGTATACTCACTACTTTACATTGCAGCCAAGTGTCATTTCTTCAGGGTTGTCACATAAAAAGATATAATAAAATATTTACAAAATGTGAAGGGTGTACTCACTTCTGTGATATACTGTAGCTTGTTCTTAATCTGATAGGAGATCACCAATATTACTATGCCTAGCACCTTTAAGCTATACGTTCTATAGAGCAAAAACCCTATGAGCTACATGACAAGGCTTTTGCAGATTGCAAAAAAGGATTTTGGGGACTGCACTCTTGGGGACTGCATGAAGGCCCTTCTTTGATGCAAAACCATGGTTTAACTCTTAGAATTTCCAAAGAGGTGAAACTGTTGCTGGTGAACAATGAAAAGTCTTGTGGCACCTTAAAAACTAACGAATTTATTCTGGCATAAGCTTTTATAGATACTGTACATCTGATGAAATGCATAAAGGGTTATGCCAAAAGTGATCATAAGTTTATGCCAAAATAAGGTGCCTCAACATTCTTTATTGTTAATTATTACACTAAGTAAGCAACACTGTTTTCCACAAAAACATGAATTTCAAAACAGCAAACCTGATTTGAATTAATTCACATGAGCTCCTGAACCAATGCTTCATAATATTTGGAATTATATAATGTCTGGGTTCTTCATTGTCTATTGAGTGGTTAAATGTGAATCTAGTAAGCCACAAATCTCAGATCACAAGAGCTGCTTCTTGAAAATGAAACAACACATAAGGTGTACAGTAAAAACTGTGGGTCAGGTGGCACAACAGAACTGAAACACCCCATAGCAAACTGGCTAAAAGTGGGCTGGATCAAACAACTATCTGGCAGATTCACTGCTATCTACAGGTCAATGGCACCTTCTTAGACTGGGGAGACATAGTAAGTAGAATACCACATGGTTCAGTCCTGAGCCCAGTGCTCTTCAACATTTTTATTAATGATTTAGATGAGAAAGTACAAGGAACACATCATATTTGCAGATGAGACAAATACCTTAGAACAGTGTTTTTCAACCGCTGGTCTGAGAACTGGCAGCAGTCTGCCAGCATTTCCTGCTGGTCCATGAAAAAGCTTCTGTCATTTGTGTGAACGACAGCTGCATCCCGCTTGTTGTAGCCCAGCACCAGACCTAGCTGTGCTCTCCCTGCAGATTCACCATCTTTTCCTCTGCCAAGGAGGGTAGGGAGGGGAGAGGCAGCTCAATAGGAGCCAGCTGGGAGCTGCACCGTGCTGGTCCACTTTCTGGGCAGGGCCCTGAAGATCGAAAACATAGGAAATGCTGTGTTTTCTCTGCCAGTCTGTGCTGGTGTGTATGGGGGTTTGAGCGGGTGAGGTTCATTATATTTCATTATTTAATATTATACTATTGTATTAAGTAACTTTGTTTGATTTTGCATTGCTCTGCCATTTATAATGGATTTGAATTTGTATTTGTTATGAGTATCATATTGCATTTATATTGATTTTGTATTTTGCTATTGTAAATTTTTGATCAAGTATTCTTGAAAAGAACAACAGCAGATTTCACACTAGCCTTATTTGAATTAAATACAGTTCTCTGAAAATTTCAGTTGTATTTACTTACATTTAATTTCAATATTTTATTCTTTTATTAGCATTTTTACTGATCAGTTTTTGGTTATTTTAGAGAATTTTCATTTTTTATATTATATTTAAAAACAAATACACAAAATACTATATTATGTATATAGTTCTTTTTATTTCTGCCTGAGCAGTCCCTGAAATAATTTTCCTATTTTTGCCGGTCCCAGCTGCAGAAAGGTTGAAAACCACTGCCCTAGAAGACAGAAACAAAATTCAAAGTGATCTTGATAGGTTGGAGCACTGGGCTAAACTGGAGCACTGGGCTAAACAGAATAGGGATGAATGCCAGGTTCTACACTGAGGAAAAGGAACCAAATGCACAATTACAAGATGGGGAATACTTGGCTCAATGATACTACAGGGAAGAAGGGAATGGTTGTGGATCACAAGCTGAATGAGTCTATGATGTGATGTGGCTGCAAAAAGGGCAAATAATAGCAGTAACACTTCCAAATTAAGTGAAGTACAAGTTCCCCTCTGCTCAGCACTGGTTAGGTCTCATCTGGAGTAGTGTGCCTGGTTCTGGGCACTACAGTTTAAGAAAGGCACAGACAAGCTGGAAGGGGTTCAGAAAAAAGCAACAAGTATGATCTGGGAACAGGAAACAAAGCCCTATGAAGAGAGTTTGAAAGAGCTGGGCATATTTAGCCTTGAGAAGAGAAGACCGAGGGGAGATAGAGATAGCACTCTTCAAGAACTTGAACAGCTGTCACACAGAAAAAGGCCAGGATCTTTTTTCAGCCAACCCAGTGGAAAAGACAAGGAATAACGGGCTCAGGTTACAGGAACCCAAATTCTAGCTGAACATCAGGAAAAACTTCCTGACTGCTTGAGCAGTACAACCATGGAATCAATTACCTCAGGAGGTTGTCGGCTCTTCCACACCAGAGGAATTTAAAATGCAACTGGACAGCCATCTGAGAAGGATGGTTTGACTTGCAGTCCTGCACTCAGCAAGAGGTTGTATCTGATGGCCCTCTTGGCCCCTTCTAACTCTATTATTCTATGATTCTGTAACAGTCACCCCTCATTTAAGATTTATGCCATCAGCCTTTTAATTAGAAACAGTCAAAGGTTAGCTGAAACCTTCGGGATCATTTTGTGTTTCCACTGTCGCACTCAATACTAAACACTCTGTTTTAAACAAAGGTTGCATAAGACTGATTAAATAGGTTGCCAACAGAACAGACCAATTATGGAAGAATTGATTTTTCTTCTGGGTTTGAATGCACAGTATTCTGTATTCATTATTTCTACAGTTTGACTGTTCATGAGAGTCAGAAGCAAGTTTTAGACAAAAGAATATGGACCAGGTTTGCAAGACATGACAACCCACTGTGGAAAACTTTCTAGGGTAGGTTGGCATGTCATGTAAATTTAAACCACCTGGTGGCTTGTTTGGAGTCAACAAGCTACCCTAACCACCTATGTCTTGTGAGAGTTGTTGAATCTGCAGTGGGTTGTCATGACATTCAAACTGAGGAGAATGATCCCAACACAGGTTGTGGGAACTGGTGAGAAAGCCACTTGGCACAACAGCAAAAATCCCTTCCTGCTCTTGGCAAGCTCACCCATGCTACTACAAGTGACAGCTGCGCCAATGATGCCCAGGTGGTACTTTGGAGTGATCCTCACTGGCTCATTACATGTTTATTTTTAATTGATTTCTCCCCAGTCTTTCACAGATATGCTCTTAGGGCTACCCTAATGTGGAGGCTTATGAGGCCAATGTCCTGGTAAGTGTCTGCTATCAAACTGTAGGAGGTAACAGCCATCTGTCAGGATCTGGGCAACTCCAGGACTCCCTCTGCTTCCCTAGCACCAGAGTAACAACCCTGGTAGTTGCAGCTGCCAGGGTCTTGATGAACATCACGTGGAAGCCCTGGAGAAAGAGCTATATAAGACCTGGCTCTTCCTTCTAGAGGCTGCCTTGACAACACAAGTTTCCTGAGGGTTGTAGCTTGGTCTTGTACCTTGTTGGACCCTCATCTGATCGTGTTCTTGCTGTGCTGTGCCACTTCTGAACCCTGACAGTTATTCAGCCTCATGGTACATACTTGTTGTTCTAATGCATGGGTCCTCAAACTACGGCCCACGGGATGGATCCGGCCCACCATGCCCATTTATCTGGCCTGCACTGATGCCCATGTGCTGGGGAGGGGGTGGTTTGCTCACTCGGAGATGGTTTTGACTCATTGGGAGATCTCTGAGCAAGCAAGCAAGCCACCACCGCACACACCTGATGCCGCCTTGTGCATGCCTGATGCCACCTCACTGGCCCGCGTGCCCAGGCGCCCCCACCTCACCGGCCCGCACCGGTCGCTGCTGCCTTTCAACTGGCCCCATATTGAAAAAGTTTGAGGACCCCTGTTCTAATGTCATGCTGGTTCTTGATCTCTTGCCTGTTGTGACTATGCCTTTTCTTGTTCCACAATGTACTTCTGGTTCCTGACCTGGGCCTGCTCTATGACCATGACTTGGACTTGGCTATTGGACTTGGACTTTGTATCTCTTTGGGTCTTGTTGCATCTGTCTGTTTTCTTACCACCCATGCTCAGGATCCTGACACCATCCTTACTGACAAAGCAAGGGCCTGTATTGGATAATTAGTGTACACTTGACAGCTGTTAACAAGTGAACTGTCAAGCTAAATAGGCGAAGTGGTGAAGGATTTTCCCCCCGGAAGGTGTGTGGGGTGATCTTCTCCTTTAATTTTTAAGTACTGTTGTTATTGTTATTTATTTCATTTCTATACTGCCCCATAGCCAAAGCTCTCTGGGTGGTTCTTAGTCTCTTCCACATTTTTGCAAGCCTCTACACACTCCAGGAAGGAGGGATCTACATCCCACCTCCTTTTCATAAGCACGTTGACACCTGTCAAAATAAAGGTAAGTTCTTTTAATATCTCCAACAAATTTTGTACAACAGGGAAATATCCCTGTCTAAAAACTAAAGCATATTTCACCATCTTCAAAGTGCTCAAATTTGCCAGAAAAGTTCCTAAAGAGCACTTTGTTTTGGCAGCTGTCAAAAGGAAGGGCCTGTGAAAAGGGAGTAGAAGTCACATTTCCCCTTTCCATAGTGCCTAGAGGTTTGGGGGAAATGTAGACAAAGCAGCAGGCAATGAGAACTGGCAGGAAAATGCTAAAAATAAAAAATTGAGGATCATACTGCTAAGAGGGAAATATACTTGTCTCCTAGCTGTCCACTGATGGTTTTTCAGTTTAAAAGCAATCAGCTGTGCACTAACTAACCTTTGTGCAGCCTCACTTTATTGATGTTCATGGATGATACCAAGTGCATTTTGATATCTTACTAGGATGTTGGCCAAGCTAAGAATCCACATTTCAGGCTGATGTGTGTATGTTCCTGCAAAAGACCATTTTAAAAAACGATCTCAATATTGTACAGTACTACTGTCCTCTAAATAATAATAAAAGACTAACAAGCCAGTGACAGTTGCTCCAAGGGAGTATTTAGGTATTGAATGTGATGTTGTCACTGGCAGTGGCATGAAGCTCCAGAATTTTTTAAAAAGTGAATGAATATGAAATTGCAAAGGGATGGTGAGACTAGACAGGTTCTGCTGCACAGAACCCTGATATACAGGGAGGAGCATGTCAAGGGAAAGGAGAGGGAGAAATCCACAGTAAGTCCAATAGCTGGTTTTCATGTAGCTTAATCACAGGGTGGGTTGTCATATCATTTGAACTCACCCGCTGTCTCCAGCTAAAAAACAAAAGCAAAATAGTACCTCACAGTGCTGGCGGGAAGCTTGAATTTCACATTCGTATTTGTTTTTCACAGACTCTAAACAGAGCTCTCTGTAGATACCTACAAACAAACATTTCTGTTTATACCTTGTTTGCCACGTACCATGTAAACCTATCAGAGCATTCCTCACCCATAACTCCTATACAACCTTGGGCCATGTGACCTCAAGGAATGTCTCTCCCATACCAACCTACCTAGCCACTATGAACTTCAGGGAAGGCCCTGTTGTCCATGCTGTGAACTAGTTTTCCCTTTTCCTATGGCACGGCAATGGAAATAGGCTTTCTCTGTAATAGTCCTGAGCCTGTGAAATGATCCTCTCTCTGAGATACTTCAGGCTGCAAAAAATGGATTTACTTCATGATGTATAAATGTTTATTCTGTTTGTTTCCTCATTCTTCTGTAAACTGCCATAGAATCTCTTTCAAATGACAAACAGTTATAAACTTATAAATAAGTTATTGCATATTAAACTGCAGAGAGCTTCAGCTGTGGGGTAGTATTTAAACAAAATAAAATGATGATATGACTTTCTGAAGAATCCAAAAAGGCAACCATTTGGCTTAGAAAAAAATCTGTTTCCTGTCCTCATCCATACATGGGCTAAAAAAATTCCATGTCTACCGAAATATCATCACTTGCTTCAAAAAGCTCTCTATTTCCTTAACAAGTGTTTTGAAACCTATAGATCCTACAGTATATAAAAACTGTAATTTAAAAAAACCAAAAGTGGAAGGGTTCAACACTTAAGTGGGCACAAAGGAAGGCAACAGACACCAGACTTGAAAGAATATATACGCTTCAGGTGTCTGTGAAATGACCTCCATATGCACAGGAAAACTTCAGCCCCACTCTTTCAAAAGCAGCTCCTTAATCTAACAAGGCAATTCCACCCAGCACCCCAAAACTGAAACTCAGGGAAGCTGCAGAAGCATACTACAATACAGCACAAGAAACTAAATGCGCTGCACAAGCCAGTTCAGATTCTGAGTTGTGACCTAGACCATAGTCTTAGCTCAGTATGCATTCAGGGATATTTATAGTCAGTTTATCTCCCAGAAATGGTTTTTAAAACTCTGGGTGTGGAAAACACTACAGATGTTTGATGCATGAATTGATGGATGAAAAACTCAAAAACAACCACAGGCTGCTGCTGCTGTTGCTGTTAGTCGCGAAGTCGTGTCCAACCCATCGCAACCCCATTGACAACATTCCTTCAGGCCTTCCTGTCCTCCACCATCCCCTGGGGTCCGCTTAAGCTCACACCAACTGCTTCAGTGATTCCATCTAGCCACCTCATTCTCTGCTGTCCCCTTCTTCTTTTGCCATCTATTGTTCCCAGCATTACACTCTTCTCCAGAAAGTCCTTCCTTCTCATTAGGGGGCCAAAGTATTTGAGTTTCATCTTCAGTATCTGGCCTTCTAAAGAGCAGTCAGGGTTGATCTCCTCTAGGACTGACCGGTTTGATTGCCTTGCAGTCTAAGGGACTCGCAGGAGTCTTCTCCAGCACCACAGTTCAAAGGTCTCAATACTTCAATGCTCAGCCTTCCTTATGATCCAACCTTCACAACCATACTTCTGGTAGTTCTCGGTCCACATGCTACGGAAGCCTAGCTTGTAAGATTTTGAGCATAACTTTGCTAGCATGTGAAATGAGTCCGGTAGTTTGAACATTCTTTGGCATTGCCCTTCTTTGGGATCAGAATGTAAACTGACCTTTTCCAATCCTGTGGCAACTGTTGAGTTTTCCAAGTTTGCTGGCATATTGAGTGTAGCACTTTTACTGCATTGTCTTTTAAAATTTTGAATAGCTCAGCTGGAATACTGTCACCTCCACTAGCTTTGTTGTTGCTCAGACTTCCTAAGGCCCATTTGACTTCACATTCCAGGATGTCTGGCTCAAGGTCAGGGACCACCCCATTGTGGTTATCAGGGACGTTAAGCTCTTTCTTGTATAGTTCTTCTGTGTAATCTTGCCACCTCTTCTTAATCTCTTTTGCCTCTGTTAGGTCCCTGCCATTTTGGTCCTTTATCATGCCCATCTTTGGATGAAATGTTCCCTTCATATCTCCAATTTTCTTGAAGAGATCTCTGGTCCTCCCTATTCTATTGTTTTCTTCTATTTCTTTGCACTGTTCATTTAAGAAGGCATTCTTATCTCTTCTAGCTATTCTCTGGAATTCTACATTCAATTGGGTGTATGTTGTGAGCCGCCCTGAGGCTTCGGCGAATGGGGTGGCATAGAAATGTTTTAATAATTAAAATAATAAATAAATAAATAAATAAAATCTTTCTCTTTCTCCCTTGCCTTTCGCTTTCCTTCTTTCCTCAGCTATTTGTAAAGCTTCCTCAGAGAGCCATTTTGCTTTCTTGCGTTTCTTTTTCTTTTAGTTTTAGTTGCTATCTCTTGTACAATGTTGCAAACCTCTATCCATAGTTCTTCAGTCACTCCATCAGATCTAATTTCTTAAATCTATTTGTCACCTCTGCTGTATATTCATCAGGGATATGATTTAGGTCATACCTGAGTGGCCTACTGCTTTTCCCTACTTTCTTCAATTTAAGCCTAAATTTTGCAACAAGAAGCTCATGATCTGAGCCGTAGTCAGCTCCTGGTCTAGATTTTACTGACTGTATAGAGCTTCTCCATCTTTGGCTGCAGAGCACATAGTCAATCTGATTTCTGTGTAGACCGTCCGGTGATGTCCATGTGTAGAGTCATCTCTTGAGTTGTTGGAAAAGAGTGTTTGCTATGACCATCGTATTCTCTTGACAAAATTCTACCAGCCTGTGCCCTCCTTCATTTTGTACTCCAAGGCCAAACTTGCCTGTTATTCCGGTTATCTTTTGGCTTCCTACTTTAGCATTCCAATCCCCCATGATGTTAAGGACCACTGGTTGGGGCATAGACTTGGACTATTGTGATGTTGAATGGTTTTCCTTGGATTCGAACTGAGATCATTCTATCATTTTGGAGGTTGTATCCCAGTACTGCTTTTCCTTCTCTTTTATTGACTATGAAAGCTACTCCATTTCTTCTGAGAGATTCTTGCCCACAGTAGTATACCTGATGGTCATCTGAATTAAATTCACCCATTCCTGTCCATTTTAGTTCACTGATTCCTAAGATGTCGATGTTCAGTCTTGTCATCTCTTGTTTGACCACGTCCAGCTTGCCTTGATTCATGGATCTTACATTCCAGGTTCCTATGGTGTATACAGCCTTACAGCATCGGACTCTCCTTTCACCACCAGATACATCCACAACTGAGTGTCCTTTCAGCTTTGACCCAGTCGCTTCATTCTTTCTGGCGCTACTAGTACTAGCACTCTGCTCTTCCCCAGTAGCATATTGGACACCTTCTGACCTGAGGGGCTCATCTTCCAGCATCATATCATTTTACCTGTTGGTACTGTCCATGGGGTTCTCATGGCAAAGATACTGGAGTGGGTTGCCATTTCCTTCTCCAGTGGAGAAGGTATGAACACGCTAATGCACATGCATCATCTCAATATGGGGGGTGGCAATGTGGATTTTAAAAGCTACCTTCTGCCAGCCTTAACCAAGAATCAGTGGATAATACTAAACATAAAGGGTAGTATCCAATGTTAGTCCTGTAAAGATTATAGCCATTCAAATGAATGAGACCTCAGTTACTAAAGACTAATGTCAGAGGAAGTAGGGCAGATAATAGTTATGAAAGATGAAATTCTCAAACTGATTGATAAACTGAAAGTCAGTAGATCATCCATCTCAGGAAGTATCCATTTTACAGTTCCTAAAGAGCTCAAATTTGACATTGCTGACCTTCTTACTAAAATATTTAATATATTCTTAAAATCAGCCTCTGTACCAGAGGACTTGAGAATGGCCAATGTAACCCCAATTTTTAAAAAGGGATCTAGAGGGGATCTGGGGAAATAGATGTTGACTAGCTTCATATCCCTTCTGGGTAAATTGGATGAAAATGTTGTTAAATATAGAAACAGTACGCACACAGAAGCACAAGCCCTGCTGACAAAGAATTAAAATGGCTTTCACAAAGGTAAGTCTTGTCTCACTAACCTACGAGAGTTCTTTGAGCATGACAATAAGCATGTGGACAGGAGCAATCTGATAAACAATGTTTACTTGGACTTCCAAAAGGCTTTTGACACAAGTCCTTCACAAAAAGCTCCTGAACAAATTTAGCAGTTGGGAATAAAAGGGGATGATCCTCTTATGGATCAGTAACTGGTTAAAGAACAGAAAGCAAAGAATAGGAACAAAAGGTAATTTCTCCTAGTATGGGGATGTAGCCAGTGGAGTCCCATAGGTTCTGTATTTGGACCAAAGGTTTTCAACCTATTCATAAATGATTGGGAATTAGGAATGAACAGTAAAGTGGCTAAGTTTGTTGATCAGACCAAATTATTTAGAGTCATTATTACCAAAAGGGATTACTGAGAAGGTCCACATGGATATCTCCAAATTGGGAGAATGGGCATCAAAATGGCAAATGCTGTTCAAGGTAAGCAAATTTAATGCATATTTGGGCAAAACATCTCAGCTTCAAGTATATGCCGAAGGGCTCTTATCTAGCAGTGACTGATCAAGAAAGTGATCTTGGAGATGTGTTAGTTTAATGAAAATGTCAGCCCATTATGCAACTGCTGTGAAAAAGTCAAGCTCCATGTTAGGCATAATTAGTCAAGGAACTGAATAAGACTGCCAAAATCGTATTCTCCTTATACAAATCTTAGATGGAACTGTACTTAGACTATTGTATGCACTTCTGGTTGCTGCAGCTGAAAAAGCACATTACTGAGTTGGAAGAAAGTACGAAAAAGAGCAACTAAAATAATGAAGGGGTTGGAACTCCTCTCTGAAGAACAGTTACAGCATATGACTAGCATTGGATACTACCTAAGGAAACTTATAGCAATATTAGATAAATATTTATTCTGAAAAAATTTACAAATTCAATAGAGAAAACAGGAACAACAAATCTATTTAACTTAAGGACTGGTTTGGGAATTAACATTTACAGGGTAATCCACTACTGTCCCAGGAATGAGCACTGGGTCCACATGCTCCCCAACTTCAGTCCTGGGCTCTTCAATCAGTTTCCCATCAGAATTGAAACAGGAAATTGTAGTTTGATGTTGGTTATCTAGTTAGGATGTTAGACTGTGGTTCAGGGTGGAGTCCTGTGCATGTTTAGACAGAAACAAGTCCTATGACTGGCAAATGCTGAGAGTTATAGGACTCGTTTCTGCCTAAATATGCACAGGAACCTTTAATGATTATTTAAGATCACTGTCAATAAACTAACATTAAACTACAGTTTGTAGTTTTCCAAGTAGCAGGAGACTGTGATTTAAAGAGATCAGGACTGAAGCACCAAAGCTGTTGTGAAAAGGAAGGGAAAAGTGTAGGCCTGTCATTCATTCAAAGCTTAATAGTTTGGCTTATTATTAAATTATATTATTTAGCTTATTATTATTATATTCTGAATCAGCCCTTTGAGTCATATAAGCACCTGAAACAATCACTCTCAAACACACATATGTATTTGGGTCACAGAACAAGGCTGTGTTCTGACAAACCTCTTATCCTTCCACTATCCATGTATAGGGCCAAAATCCTTACTAAAAGATACAAAATTAAACATCTGAGATTTAAACATGAACTGATTCAAACATTAGCTTTAACATTTTACTTCTACCCAGGCTGAAGAATGTATGTAATTGAACCATGAGCCACCACTTGATGCTCTTACCTGCCACTTTTGTTCGGATTTGCATGTTTTCTTGCAGAGCTGCCAGTGGCTCCAAGTACTCTGGTGCTTTTCCTGCAATGACCTCCTGTAGCTTTGCATCCACTTGGCTTAATCTTTCCTTGTAAAGTCTTAATATAATTTAAATGGAGAGCATTATATTAAGGATATGCAGAGAACAAGGTATATTAACATTTCTAAGAATCCCTTTCCCCAGCTGCCATTGGCAATAAACCAACAAACCACTAAGCTCATCAACTCAGCAGAAATTAATGAAACTTAAAAACAAACTTTACAATAAATTCTGACCAAAATGTTAAATACACTTTATTTGGATCAAGACCTTGCATTCCATGAACAAAAGAGCTGTCTCTGTCCAAAGAAAGCATTTGATCCAGCAGAGGAATCCTGCTGGCAGAAGGGGTGGGGAGGTGAGTTTTGCCAATTTTCCCCTTTGCTGCAACTGCTTACACCTTCCAAAAATCTACTCCAGATGGTCTGAGGACAACACATGCCTGCAAGGAACAGCAGGGAAGGCCTTGGCATCGTGTGGTGTGTGAAGGACTACTCTCCAAATTGACAGAAAAATCAGTTAAAAAACAAAAGGCAACCAAATCCACAATTACTACTCAACTGGCCAACAAAAACAAAGGAAAGGATAAAACAACACACAGCAGCAGATAAAACAAACCAATTATCAGGTAAACAAGTACCAAGAATAGATCTAAAGCAGTTGCTGCTGTACAACACAATGTATGTTTTAATAAGCATGTTAACCTGGTTGTCAAATATTTACATTCCAGCAAACAAAGAAACTTTGTAACTCTATACTAGAAAGTAAGACCATCTATTCTGATATGGTGTATATGGTCTTATTAGATAAGCCATTAGACAAGCAGCTATATATGTCCATCCCAAGAAGATGCAAACTAAGAGAGGGAGTCTGTTCTTTACAAGAATGTGAACTAAAACTTGGGCTGCATTCAAACATAATGCTAAACAATGTTGCATGGTTACCATGCAGAATGGCTTCTTACCTTGTTGATGGGTTTAGATAATCATATAAGGTTGTGTTCACACATAATACTACTGATGTGGTGTAGTGCAGAAAGCCAATGTGATACAGAGACTAAGAGTGTGGATCTGGAACTCAAGCAATCTTGGTTCTAGGTCCTGCTTAGCCATGGGGCTAACTGGGTGATTTTGGGCCAGTCACAGACTCTGCGACTCAGTCCAGCCTGCCTCATAGGGTTGTTGTGGGGATAACACTAAGGAGGAGAATGATGTAAGCTGCTCTGAGTTCTTTAAAAAGAAAAAAGGTGATACATAAATCTAATAAAGCATATATAATACTAAGCCCATAGCCTAGTATCCTACTTTTTGTCCTGGCTTCATGAGTGCTTTCTTCCTCCCCCATCTTTCCTCCTAATAGTAGCACATATTCTATCAGCCCTACAGCTGGAAATCAATCCCAGCATGCACTGCTCCTGCCTGCATTGCCAACTTCTCCCTCATCAGGCCTCTCACTCCCTTGGGCCTGGCTTCAGTCAGCTGCCTTTTCATGTTTTTGTTTTCTGGTCCTCAGTGGAACTGCTTACTCTCTAGAGTAGCATTAATGCTCTAGAGTAGAACTGATGCCTTGCTCTGTGCCGGTGTACAAGCACCCCACCCCCTCCCCTCCCTCCCTTGCTGCACATGTGTCCACACTCCCCCATTTGCAGGATTTGCAGATAATGCTAGGGGTTGCCTCTCCCCTGCAGGTGGGCACATGGAGGCATCAGCACAGGTACATGTGGCCAGGACAGAGGGTTCATGTCCTGCCAGGCAGACTTTCCTAAGGCAGTGCTTACAGGCATCGGCCTGGGAGAGTTTTCTAGCTGGCTGTTTGAGCACTCTTTGTTGCACAGCATGGCGGGGAGGGGTTGCCAGCCCCAAGTTCCAGCTGTTAGGGATAAAAAAGGAGGGGAGGCACAGATGGGAGGGAGAACAGGAAACATGGATATCTTGGGATGTTCACCCTGTTGACGTCTCACATACTGTGTGCTCCTTGTGTGCAGCTTTCCCCAGAGGCCAGAGCTTCTGTGTTTAAAGCAAAGGCCACTGCTCCAATACAGTGTGGCAACTAGGCAGGAGTGTCAGGAATGGTTGTTCCCATGATTGCTGCTGCTGGAGGCAGATTAGCATGGACCAGCTGCCAAACTTTCAAAGCTGTAGGTGGACATCCAAATGCAGCACATGGAAAAAAAGTGGAGTACAGAGTGGCTAATCAGGGTGCTGCTGGCTGCAAGCCAGCAGTCATAGGCAGACCTGAACAGCAAAAAGCACAAGCAGAAGTGTCTGCTGCAGCTGCTCTTTGCACAGAATTCATGCAAGAGACATAAAAATTACATAGAAGCATGGCTTCTGGGTTCAGATGTGAAAACAAGCCATGGTGAAGCATGGAAATCTTAGAAAAGGCCATTGTTCCCCTGAATGGTTCGACAGAGACCCCCCCTTCACTATGGTTGCTAGATTCAGACATAACGACAAGCCATACTGCTGCTGTTTCCACCATGGCCTGTCTTTATGTCTGAACTCAACCGTAGTTATCACACTAAGGGTGGCATTTATCACATCAGCCCGAGGCTGAAATTCAGTGCCAGGGTGCACCGCTCCTTTTGCCTGCCTTTCCCTCATTGGTCCACACACTCCCCTGGGTGTGTCCTCAGTCAGTTGCTCCTGGTTTTGTCTTGGTTTGGTGTTTTTTTTTTTTTTTTGGCTTGGCTGAGGCAACTACTTGCTTACTAGAGGAAAATCTTGCTTTAGAGCAGCTCCTCCCTGTGCTCTATGCCAATGTATATGCAAACCTACCCACACCCCTATCTCCTCCCTCACTTCAGATAGAAACATAGAAACAGAGCGAGTCAGAAGGGGCCTCCTGGGCCATCTAGTCTGACCTCCGGCACCATGCTTCCCTGTGCACAGAAGCAAGACGTCCATGCTTCCCTGTGCATAGCCACACAGAAAACTGTGCCATCAATCTAGCAGTCTCCTCTGCTACCCTACAGCTGTGACCACATACTATTCCCACAGCACGCCACCCCAAGCTAGCCACTGGATGCAAGTGCCCTACTTCTGCCATTGACTACACTGGGTTCTGCCCACTTCCTAACTACATAGACATATGCATACACATTTATGTGCATAGCTAGCTTGCAGCAAGGCGGGGGGGGGGCTCTAAGTGCCACTTGCAGGGGTTCAGCAGGGAAGCATCTGTGCCATGGTCCCAGTCACAACCCCTACATCTCTCTGTGGGGCAGGCAGGAAGTCCAGATGGGCACTGTACTGTGGGTACTGCTGAGAAGCAGGCTGGCATCCATGCTGAGATGGAGGCTCTGCTGATAGAATCTCCATGAGTCTCCCAGATCTACTGGGAAATGATCTCCTGGATCTCATACTTGGTAGCTGTGGGTGTTGATTAGCTCAAAGAGCGGGGGGGCAGGGGTAGGCAAAAGTGGGGCTTGTTGACATCACAAGACATGCCAGAGACAGGATGGGATTAGAGGGAAGGGCAAGAAGCAGAGTAGGAGACATGGACTTTGGGGGGCTAGGACCCAGTTGTAGATGTCCCACATGTAGTTCATGTGTTCTTCTCATGAATGGGTAAGTTTGCAAAGAGTGATGATTCTGTCAAAAAAGCAATGGCAGAACAGTTTGTGAGCAGTGTTTGTGTGAATTAGTAACCAGACTGGAGTGCCAAACATGGCTGTCTCCAAGGTCACTTCTGGAAGTGGTGCAGCATGCTTCTCCACTGCCAGAGACTTAAATCTGGAGGTGAGCATCTGGAAGGCAATGAAAAGCTGGGGAGGGAGGAAGTGCAGAGCAGCCAAAAGAAGCATGGCTGGAACTGAAGTATCAGTTGCTAGGCAGATCTGGAAGGCTCTTTCCACTGGCCTCTATGGTAGCCTCATGGAAACAATGCCTCTGGATTCACAGGCTCAAACAAGGCATGGTGAAGCATGGAAACCTTACAATAGACCATTGTTTGAAAAACAAATGTAACATGCAGAAAGTCTGGGAGGGTTCAGACAACTCAACAGACCATTTCCAACATAGTTTAGCATTATGTCTGAACCCAATCATATGTGCCAGTACTTTTTTTTCCCAGCCATTTTCTTACTGCCCAATTTGCTTCTAAAAGTAGAGCCAAGCCAGAGGAAAACTACTTAAAGAAGCAGGGTTCAGTCAAGTAAGATGAGTCGGGAACAGTGTTGTATCTCTGCCCATATGTTTCTTTGCATATGAAGAACAGAGTCACTCTTCATTTTCACTGTATGCATTAACAGGGTATAAAATATCCATAAAACACATACGGTTACCACATTTGGAGCAGTTCTTAGAATTTCCTACCACCTCCAAGTGCCTAGTTACTTCTCTCACGTTATGGACTTATGGATGGCTTAGGACAATAGGGATAAATTCCTAAGCTTCAGATAGTATCTATGGAATAGTAAACCCACACTTACTTTGGAGAAGACTGAAAATCTCTAAGGTATTTTCAAAATACTGACAAGCCATCTTACATGAGTCTTATATCCTATTTAAACAGGCACACACATACCCCCATTTTAGTCAATGCTAACATTATTCTAGAGATCGCCCCCACACAAGAGATCCCAGGTTTACTCCTTGATATCTCCACAAGGGCTGAGAAGCAGCCCTGTCTGAAACCCTGGAGAGTCACAGCCAATGTAGACCTGGGGCTGGCAATGTGGTTTCTGTGGGTGCACCAGCACTTGCCAAGAACTCTGAGTGTGCTCCCGGAAAATTTTGCACTGCCCTCCACTTCTCACCACTGTCCCTCCATCACCTAACTGGCATGCTTCTCCCTACCTCTGTTCTAGTTGATGGAATATTATTCCATTAAGCAAAACAGAGGAAGGGGAAAGGGTGCCCGGCAGAAAAATGGCTTGGGAGAGGTCCACCAAACCCAAGGTCTCTTAGAGAAACAGAGGCTTCCCCCTCCCAGCCATTTTTTTGTCTGGGGACCCTTTTCCATAGCTCTATGCAAGTAGATTGAGCTATACCGCTCCACTGAGAAGAGGTGGGGACAAAGGTCCCCTGCCAAAAACTTGGTGAAGTAGGAAAAATCCAAGCAAGAAAAATCAGAATTCAGAGACAGGTACTCCTAACATTTTATGTTCCACAAAAATTTGTGGTGGTGCTTGGGATTATTTTTCAAAATGTGAAATGCTCTGATGGGCCCAAAAAGATTGCCTGCTACTGATGCAAACAATACTAAGGCTGCAATTCTATAAACATATACTTAACAACAAGTCTCAGTGAGCATAGTGGGACTTACCTCTCAGTAAACATGCACAGGATTACACTCTATCAGTAGTCTGATTCAATAAAAGCTGACATCTCATTTACTTTTTACTAGAAGCCTGGGACCAAACCAGAGCCAAGTGCAAGTGTGGGGAAAAATCCATGAAAAATAAAGTGCCCCTCAGCATGTTCAGTCAAGGATTTTGTTTTATGGCACCTGAACAGAGTACACAGTCCTTTCACACTGCATTGCCTGCTACTTTATTGGAAACCACCAGAGATCTATCAATAGATCTAAAATCATCCCATGGCCACTTCTGTTTAAACAATATTAAACACACCAGACTATAAATGAAATTCTAAGGCATCAATTTACTTACTGATCTTTGAGGTCTGTAAATTGTTTTTCAAGATTGGACATTTCATCTAAACATTCCATTCTTCGTCTTTCACAGTCCTCATCGTCCATTTCTGAGAAGAGAATTATTGACTTTAAGAACAGATCAGAACTGCCTCCTCACTCACAATCTAGATCCTAAATTTTTGTTCAGGTTCACCAATGTATTCATTAAAAAAACACAGCTAATGTTCCAAACTCCTTCATGGATCACTGCCTTGTCGTGGCGAAGGGGCTTGCGTAGCTCAATGAAGCTATGAACTATGCTGTGCAGGGCCACCCAAGACGGACAGGTCATACCAGAGAGCTATGACAGAACGTGATCCACTGGAGAAGGAAATGGCAACCCACTCCAGTATCTTTGCCATGAAAACCCCATGGACAGTACCAAAAGGCAAAAAGATATGACACTGGAAGATGAGCCCCTCAGGTTGGAAAGTGTCCAATATGCTACTGAGGAAGAGCGGAGGGCTAGTACTAGTAGCGCCGGAAAGAATGAAGCGACTGGGTCAAAGCCAAAAGGACACTCAGTTGCAGATGTATCTGGTGGTGAAAGGAAAGTCCAATGCTGCAAAGATCTGTACTCCATAGGAACTTGGAATGAAAAATCTATGAATCAAGGCAAGCTGGATGTGGTCAAACAAGAGATGACAAGACTGAACATCGACATCTTAGGAATCAGTGAACTAAAATGGACAAGAATGGGTGAATTTAATTCAGATGACCATCAGGTATACTACTGCGGGCAAGAATCTCTCAGAAGAAATGGAGTAGCCTTCATAGTCAATAAAAGAGAAGGAAAAGCAGTACTGGGATACAACCTCCAAAATGATAGAATGATCTCAGTTCGAATCCAAGGAAAACCATTCAACATCACAATAGTCCAAGTCTATGCCCCAACCAGTGGTCCTTAACATCATGGGGGATTGGAATGCTAAAGTAGGAAGCCAAAAGATAACCGGAATAACAGGCAAGTTTGGCCTTGGAGTACAAAATGAAGGAGGGCACAGGCTGGTAGAATTTTGTCAAGAGAATACGATGGTCATAGCAAACACTCTTTTCCAACAACTCAAGAGATGACTCTACACATGGACATCACCGGACGGTCTACACAGAAATCAGATTGACTATGTGCTCTGCAGCCAAAGATGGAGAAGCTCTATACAGTCAGTAAAATCTAGACCAGGAGCTGACTACGGCTCAGATCATGAGCTTCTTGTTGCAAAATTTAGGCTTAAATTGAAGAAAGTAGGGAAAAGCAGTAGGCCACTCAGGTATGACCTAAATCATATCCCTGATGAATATACAGCAGAGGTGACAAATAGATTTAAGAAATTAGATCTGATGGAGTGACTGAAGAACTATGGATAGAGGTTTGCAACATTGTACAAGAGATAGCAACTAAAACTAAAAGAAAAAGAAACGCAAGAAAGCAAAATGGCTCTCTGAGGAAGCTTTACAAATAGCTGAGGAAAGAAGGAAAGCGAAAGGCAAGGGAGAAAGAGAAAGATTTTATTTATTTATTTATTTATTATTTTAATTATTAAAACATTTCTATGCCACCCCATTCGCCGAAGCCTCAGGGCGGCTCACAACATACACCCAATTGAATGTAGAATTCCAGAGAATAGCTAGAAGAGATAAGAATGCCTTCTTAAATGAACAGTGCAAAGAAATAGAAGAAAACAATAGAATAGGGAGGACCAGAGATCTCTTCAAGAAAATTGGAGATATGAAGGGAACATTTCATCCAAAGATGGGCATGATAAAGGACCAAAATGGCAGGGACCTAACAGAGGCAAAAGAGATTAAGAAGAGGTGGCAAGATTACACAGAAGAACTATACAAGAAAGAGCTTAACGTCCCTGATAACCACAATGGGGTGGTCCCTGACCTTGAGCCAGACATCCTGGAATGTGAAGTCAAATGGGCCTTAGGAAGTCTGAGCAACAACAAAGCTAGTGGAGGTGACAGTATTCCAGCTGAGCTATTCAAAATTTTAAAAGACAATGCAGTAAAAGTGCTACACTCAATATGCCAGCAAACTTGGAAAACTCAACAGTTGCCACAGGATTGGAAAAGGTCAGTTTACATTCTGATCCCAAAGAAGGGCAATGCCAAAGAATGTTCAAACTACCGGACTCATTTCACATGCTAGCAAAGTTATGCTCAAAATCTTACAAGCTAGGCTTCCGTAGCATGTGGACCGAGAACTACCAGAAGTATGGTTGTGAAGGTTGGATCATAAGGAAGGCTGAGCATTGAAGTATTGAGACCTTTGAACTGTGGTGCTGGAGAAGACTCCTGCGAGTCCCTTAGACTGCAAGGCAATCAAACCGGTCAGTCCTAGAGGAGATCAACCCTGACTGCTCTTTAGAAGGCCAGATACTGAAGATGAAACTCAAATACTTTGGCCACCTAATGAGAAGGAAGGACTCCCTGGAGAAGAGCCTAATGTTGGGAACAACAAATGGCAAAAGAAGAAGGGGATGGCAGAGGATGAGGTGGCTAGATGGAGTCACTGAAGCAGTAGGTGTGAGCTTAAGCGGACTCTGGGGGATGGTGGAGGACGGGAAGGCCTGGAGGAATGTTGTCCATGGGGTCGCGATGGGTCGGACACGACTTTGCAACTAACAACAATGTTCCAAATGATCTAGTTTCAAGAGGAATTCATATTTGACAACCTTTTTGCAATGGATGGAAAATGCATTCAGCTTGTAAGATCAAAAGCAAAGTTTTCTTTATATTCCATGAGTGATCTTGGAAGAAAGCCAGGTTGCTCAGACTTGCATTTCACTCAGGCTTGTACTTCATTGTACAGCTGACTACATTAATATTTTAAATTACTGTCCAACAAGAACCATAAACTTTGAATGAACCAATCAGTAGGAGTGTAATATTGGTTATACTTCACAGTTCCATACCAAAAATTAAGTGGAAAGGTTTTTGTCAGTCTAAGAGAAAGTTCCTCTGTGTGCAATGTTGTGCAGCATCTTCTGAAAAACCGCCTTCATTCATCTGCCAAAACATCTGAATATGCTTTCCAGACAATGCGTCATATACCACTGCCAGCATCACCAGCAGAGTGGTGGGTTAATTTATATCAAGGGGATTTTAAATTAAGTATCTTGTTTGGTATTCATGATATTCAATATGCATACCAGCAGGTTTCTATAACCAATCAAAACAGAACCATTTGCTACTAAATAGCACCTCTATAAAACCTTGGAGCATAACCCTAATCCTCTGGTCATGGAGATCACATGCTCTGTGTAACTGCACCTGCTGAGAAATGACAGATCAATTCTGGTGCTGCTCACCACATTTATAAAAGGATGCTAAACCATATCACTCACTTGAAGGCTAAGGGTGCAACCCTTATTGCCTTGTGCAGCTATACATTATTATTAGTTATATATTGCCATATTTGCTAAACATAAGTCTATTGAAATAGAGTATTTCCAGAAAGCTACATTACACTGAAGTTTTCCCACTTAAAGAATTAATTCCTATTCCTAAAATCTACTACATTAAATTAGCCTGCAAGTTAGTGGACATATTGGTCTGTTCAGATCTTTTTTTCCACCTCTGGAAGACTGAGTAGGATTGCCTCTCCAGCCCTATTACTGAAGCAAAGCAATTGCTGGTCACAAGCTTTGCATTAGTGTGAAGGGGGGCCATTCATGGACAGATGGATGCACACATGGCTTCCCCATGTATCAGGAATCTTGGTTGATAGGTGTTCCCGCTTGGATGAAGAAGTTTAAGAGCTTACATTTGTGAACACCTAAGTCCCCTCTGTACTAATACTGAATATCTATGTTATTAGTGAGTTCAACAATGGCATTACATTACATACATTGCATTAGTAGAGGGGATAGCAGCACAAACTTATTCCTATTCCCTCCTCTATGTATTTATTGTATTCACCAAGAAGATCTGAACAGACCTCTGTTGAATCTTTATTGATGAGGCAACAGCAACCTGTTGATACAAATTACATAAAGCAGCGCTGAAGAATAAGTACAAAATGCAAGAGGAGACCTATAGAAATCCCATGAAGCTGACTGGTAGGAGATTCAAGATGGACAAAAAGCACTTCTTCACACAGCACATAATTAAATTATGACATTTATTATCAAAGGATGTAGAGATGGCCACCAACTTGAGTGGCTCTAAAAGAGAATCAGACAAATTATGGAGGACAGGTTATCAATTGCTACTCGTTATAATGGCTATATATTACCCCCACTATTGGAAGAAAGAAATCTCTGAATACCAGTTGCTGAGAAACATGGGATAGAGAGGGCTCTCAAATCTTGCTTAAGAGCTTCCAACAGGCTTCAGGCTGACCAGTATGCAAAGAGAATGCTGGAACAGATAGGGCTTTTGTCAGATTGAGTTCTTATATTCTTTTAAGTGTGCATAGTTTTTGTATATTGGATCTACTCTTTAGTTACAACCTGTCCATAAGGAAACAAACAGGGCAAATATCAGAAATGTATGAATGCTGTGAACAGCCCAGAGAGCTTCAGCTACTAAGCAGTATAAAAATGTAATAAATAAATGCCCCCCTTCCTCTTCTTTCCCACTCCCAGCAATGCTTTCTTGTCTTGTGCAGATAATATCATCTGCTAAATCACCAACCAAAGATGTGAGTCAAAGGTATTGTATCTGATCACAATTTCCGTCTATGTGCACTGAAATGTTTTCAATTAAATGCACATTAGATGAGTATGTTGGATGCTTTTATTACATATAATACATAATGTAATCAGCAATTTTAGCCATCAAAAATGCTAAAATCATATACTTTATTGAGCATTACAACTGTAATGCCCCTATATTGCAGATGGAAAGCTGCGGCTGACAGGTGATGGCCAATGTACAGAAACAGGGCACCTACGCCCCTCTAAATGTAAAATAAAACACAGCGTCCTAAAAATTCAACTGACAATAACACCCCAATTAAAACAATCTGATCTTAAAACATTGGGAAAATAAAAACGTTACTGGACTACAGCCACAAGAAACTTCTAATAATGAGGGTCACAGGTTTGTGATCACATTCTCT